CAAATATTGGAATTTCTGTATCTTTACCTGTAACAATAAGATTTGATCAGCTATTGTTGCTCACTGAGAACTTGAGTATAGGTGCTTCAGTAGATACTTCAGATTTCTTTTAAGTGCCATCTAATTCAAACACCATTGCATAATCTTGATTAATCGGAAAAACTACATTTAATCTTTGCTACCATTACAAAGTCTGTTGTGGACCTTGTCAATTTATTATTGCTCTCAATAGATTATTTCTACAGATGATATATATGAGGTAAAAATGTATGCAAGGTGTGTTTAAAATGATCTTGAACTTCATACTATAAATTAGAAACACGTATCAACACTAATGAATACAATTAGCGTTATATACAAAATTTATTCTAATGCCATCTTTGCAAGGACAGGTACTTACCTGACGACAAGATTACAACATATTACATTTTTGTGATGTAAATAGTTGGGTTAATTATTACATAATTATTTGGAGTGCATATTTTTATTTATTTTATTTATAAATGTAAATTACAAATAATAACGGTTGCTAATATACATTATTTACATATTCATTTCGTTTGCGGTTGCAATACACTATCATTTTCTAACATACCAAACTAACATATAAAAAATTCTTTGAACACGATATAATGTCCTGATATTTAACTGATAATTGACTAATAATCACAAAAGTAATAGTTTATTGAAACAAAAAATCGTACCAGTAATAGAGAAAAATGTGAAAAAATATTTATATTAGTTACTTGTTTTGAAAGTAAATATCTAGGTGTTCTCGGAGATTATAATTTCATCATATAATTAACAACAAATCTTTTTCTGCTTTATCAATAACAGTATTGGTCAAATTCTATTGCAACAAAAATTGAAATTTGCCTATGGTAAAAATATTCAGTTTGTACAACAGAATTAGAATCATTCTACATAACTTATCAAATAAAGAGAACATTAATCGGGAAGATATTAATTTCATCTCTATTTGTGTATCTTCACAATGTATACAGCAATTTCAAGTTAGCCTTGGGCGCAAGAAATCGTTATTTGAAATGCCAGTAACAAAACTGGCACTGAAATTGTCGCATTTATTAATGTCTTCTATATTTAAATCTTGACTTCAGCAGACTCACAAGATTGCTTTCAAATTCGACTTATAATATAAACATCATTATAAAAATTATTCTATCGTAAGAGGAACTTGTTAGGTGACTCTTGATTTTGTTCTAAAATTGATTCTTGCTTGTCAACAGATTGAAAATTATGTATGCAATAACAGGTTCAGGTCTTTATTATGTTGCCCTGGTTCGAGATATTTGGATACCATAAAATTTATACATAGAGACATATTTAATTTTGTCTTAGTTCTTTTCTGACAGAACTTATATCTCTTTGATTGAGAAGTCCATCCAAAAGCCACTGGTACTTGAAACAAAAACAAAAATACTTGAAAATGTGTGTCTAAAATAGGCCAAAAAATCATAGCCTTTCTCAATATTGCTGCATCCAATTAAAAATCACCAGCATTGAAGAAATCTAATAATACCATCAAATGGAGACAGGGTAACTATCACCAGGATAACCAGTCACCTTCTAAAAAAAGCAACTCAGTTATGAAATATTATCAGAAAGCAAAAGCTTATAGAATTCTCAAGTTCTGATTGAGTTCAATCAATAAACAAATAAAAAAGCATAAATCTTCCCATCATAACAATCTTCTGATTGCCCTGATCGTATGCTCTAATCAAATTCCTGACTCATAAAAATAATAGACACAATTTATTTTTATCATTGCATGCAGATACTCATCATTTGTTCAGATGCACTCTGTCCTTAGTCAAGTCCACATTTAATGATATGTTTTCACCATGACATTCATTTTTATTGCTTGTGCAGAATCATGATTCAATATATAAAACTTTGCACAGGCAAAGAAGGCTCGACAGATAACGTCGAGGTCAATTGATATAAGTGACGAAAATTAGTCAAATTTATCAAATGTGCCACATGGCAGCAATTTCTGCGTTCTCATATTAGAGAGATAAAAAACGTAGTTTTTTTTATTATCTGGGTTTAAATGAAACGCAGTTTGTAATTGTTCTATTTATTTATCATAGCTTAATATTTTTAATGAGAGTATTATGTTCTTAGGTTTTTTTTATGCTTTTACTGCAGGAGCGTGAGGTTGTCAAAATTAAATCGTTGAAAAATAAAGTCATTGTATATATTTTGAGATATATTTGAAATTTGCTTTGAACGAGATATATTTGAAATTGAACAGAAGGAAATCCAACGGTTGTCAGCCTGTAACTATTTGATATATTTTATTAGCAGAATTTCTTCAATACCTATTGATGATGTATTTCTAATTTGAAGTACTATGTTTAATTTGACGTATATTTTCACCTATAGTTTTGAGTGAAAGCCGATTTTACTACCTAATATCAGGCTGCCTCAAATGTCTTTCGAAACTGACACTTTTTACCACTAAGTCACAAGAGATTCGTTGTAATGGACGATTATTTTTATTATTTATTTTTGTTACACGTAGAAGTCCTTGTTTGAAGTCGTGGTCGTAGTAATTCAAACACTAATTGTGCAGCAATAAAAATCGATAATAACAATTTATATTTCGAACTTTAACCAGGCGCTCATTTCCTTCCTCTATTTAATAAACCTAACAATTACAATTTAATAAAATCGTTTTTAAATCGCTCGATGCATATAACTTCCTCCCAACGTCATAAAATATCCGCCTTATCGTAAATTTCTCATAAAGAAACGAACATAATTTATTATTATTGAATTTTGTTGATATTACATTGTAGATATTTCATGTATATATATATATTACAATGTTTTGTTGTTGAGATTTTATGAACTGTGCGAATGTCGGCTCCAATCTTCAATGTCAAAGTTAATTTAATCAAAATTGTCGCCGTTCTACGTTGATAATATTGTGCACGTGTGTCGTGCAATAAATCATCATTTCTGTTCGAAAACGATGAAAAATGAGAAAATAGATTTAATAATAGCCTATCTAGATAATATCGTATGTAAACGCACACGTAAACGTAAAATATCCATTGCTTCAAATTGATTTATTGTTTTGTGCACCTGAGCTTCAGGTATACATTAGAGTAAATGGTAATACTTAATACTAGCAATTAAAAATTACACATACACTACTCTGCAAAAGTTTGGACTCACTTAGAAAAATCATTGTTTTTTTTATTCATCACTTTATTTATTATCGTTCTCCTCAGATTTCAGATCCTCTCAGATCTCCTCAGATCTTTCAATTAAATTTAATCAAATCTATTTAAAATACTTGAAATCGTAAGAACATCAGAAATCATTCTTCTATCCTTTATTTAAAATATTTGACAAAAATCGTAAGAGCATCAGAAATCATTCTTCTATCCGTGTTGAAATCAATGTAAATTGAATTACAATATC